GTCTTTTTCGCCCTAGCAGCCGACACGGTGTTGGCCGTGGAAACACGCTTTCCGTTAACGGCAACGGTGTAAGAATCTTTAAAAATAAAACCTAATATTAATATCTGATAAAATCTAATAACGAATCTATTAAAAATCTAATCAACCCGTGACTGAAAAATAAAATCTAACGACATGTATTTTAAAAAATCTGTTTTACTTGTATATTCGATTAATAAATCTACTTTAACGTTACGTATTTAAAAAAATAATCCACGGCCGATAAAATCAACGGGTCTTTTAAAAATCTAATTGATTCTGATAAATTAAATAAAACTAACCTGTATCCTCAAATTCGTCCATTGCTTTCATACACAATAGATCGTTATCCTCAAATTCGTCCATTGCTTTCATACATAATAGATCGTCATCCTCAAATTCATCCATTGCTTCCATGCACAATATATCATCGTCGGATATCGCATTCGATCCACCAGCCGGGACATCGGGAATAAATATTTGAGACGCGATCTGGATAACATCACCTTGATTAGAGGCACGAGGCGCTCGTGTTGGGTGATCTATGATTGGTGCAGCGGGTATTGGCCTCAAACGGGTTGGAATGTTGACAATACCTTGGGGAAAAATTTATAAACAAATTAATATGTAATCAAAAAAAAAAAATATAAAATTTGATATTTGTAATAGGTACATACCATGAACATTTTTCAGATGTCTATTGATATACGATTTATAGTTGAATGTCGCTGGACATACGGTACACGGAAAACGAATACCGGTATGAGTTATTTCATGTCTAACCAAACTGCCTTTTCGTACAAAAACCGACGGGCACTGCACGCATTTAAACATATTGATTTGTTTAAGGTAATTACGAGAGAAAAAAAAATGTTTAAAAATGTTATTATATTTTATATTTTAAACACTGTCAAACAAATAATAAACGCTGAAAAAAAACACGAAGGGAGCAAACGCGTAGTACGTGTACAATTAACTGTGACACACTGATCGCGGTTGACCACGGCAGTCGGCAGCTGCTGGTAGAAAAAGGTCGTATCGATAACAAAGGGATAATAGCCATCATTTCTATAGATATATATTACGATTATTTGAACATTTCAAAAAAACCTACACCGTCGACAATTTAACAGTACCCTGTAGAGATTTTCAATATTATGTTTTATACACAAATACGAGTATATCTCGCGTTCAAGAATACCTACACCGTCGACATTTTAACAGTACCATGTAGAGATTTTCAATATTATGTTTTATACACAAATACGGGTATATTTCACGTTCAAATAAATACCTACGCACGCTATTATTATTATTATGGTACATTGATTATAAGCATAATGTGTACATAATTTTGTGCAAGAAATAAACTCAATTATAAACAATTTTAAAACTACGGCAAAACATGTTGTAGATATTTCTCATATTCAATAATATAGGTTTATTTAGTGAATTTGAACGTTTCAAAAAAAACCTACACCATACATCAAATAGTGATATACAGTATATATTTTTGATTTATAACAATATAGGTTTATTTAGTGATTTTCGGCTATTTTAATAAATCTACAACATACTAAAATAAAGATATGCGTCATATATTTTAATTTCACACTCAACGTTACCAACGCATGCTATCATTATGATACATTATAAACAATTTTAAAACTACGGCAAAACATGTTGTAGATATTTCTCATATTCAATAATATACGTTTATTTAGTGAATTTCGACATTTTTAAAAAAACCTACACCGTAGTAACAATAGTGGTATACGGTATATATTTCTGATATTTAACAATATACGTTTATTTCGTGAATTTCGACAAAATCGTAATAATCTACACTGTACTAATAATTACGTTATGTTGTAGATATTTCTGATATTTTTCGATTTACGTTTATTTCGTGAATTTCAACATTTTTGACATTTTTAAAAATACCTACACCGTAGTAACAATAGTGGTATACGGTATATATTTTTGATATTTAACAATATACGTTTATTTCGTGAATTTCAACATTTTTGACATTTTTAAAAATACCTACACCGTAGTAACAATAGTGGTATACGGTATATATTTTTGATATTTAACGATTTACGTTTATTTCGTGAATTTTAACAAAATCGTAATAATCTACACTACAGTTACAATTACGTTATGTTGTAGATATTTCTGATATTTTGCGATTTACTTTTATTTCGTGAATTTTAACAAAATCGTAATAATCTACACTGTAGTTACAATTACGTTATGTTGTAGATATTTCTGGTGGCGGTGACAGCTGCTGATAATTTGACGGTTGTTGATAATCGTTATCACTATTAGGTATACGTCACGCACGTGCCCAATAATCGTTATCAGTGGTAAGAAGTGGTTACTGATTAGGTTACTGATAAGGCCAACATATTTACTTCGCGCACGTGGCCGATAACTGTTATCAGTGGTAAGTAGTGGTTACTGATAAGGAGTGGTTACTGATAAGAAATGGTTACTGATAAGGAGTGGTTACTGATAAGGCCAAAATATACGTCGCGCACGTGACCGATAATCGTGTGTGTGTGTGTGTGTAGGTGTGTGTGTGTGTGTGTGTGTGTGTGTGTGTGTGTGTGTGTGTGTGTGTGTGTGTGTGTGTGTGTGTGAAGTGTGTGAAGTGTGTGAAGTGTCAGCGGTCTGAACCCCCCAAATCATACTACTGACGTCCCACGTGAAACGTGCACGTTTTTCGTTTTTAAATTCGCGCTCCATCCAGTTCATCTCGGCACTCGGCAAAATAACAGGGGTCCAAAAACTATATATTTCTATATACCTAATATATAGTTTATGGATCGCTGTTTTTCTTCAAATGTTTACGGTTTCGGGGTGCCGAGAGGAACTGGACAAATTATAGGTATATATGGAACCCAATAAAAACTATAAATGATATTGTTGTTAATACGAACGAACGAAACCAACACTTTCAAACGCTCTACCGTTAGGCGTAAATGAATATGTCAAGGTCCTAAAAAAATATCGATGTTGATGTATAAAAATAAGTACATACCTACCTAATAAAACTGAAATTAATTTGTTTTTCGAACGTTAACCGATATACAGGACGAATAATTTATTAATGTATATGCGTACAGCTGTACAATGATAACCTATGTTAGGGTGGGTTTCATAAAAAAAAAAATGTAATAAAAACTAAAAAATCACAATACGTCAATATGTAAAAAGATTGATAAAAATGCCAACGAAAAGAATATCAAAAATATTACAATCATAATGCGCGTACCGATAAAATAAATAATAGTATGGCAAACAATTTTCTGATGGTACCTAATTATTAAACTAATAAATTCAACGAACATTTTTCCGTGATAAACTTTGAAATAACACCATGACCTTCTATAAAGATCAGACAGGGACATTTAGTACCCAGTACAGTAAAACTTCCGTTAACGGTCACCACTTATAGAACGGTCACTTCTATGTAAAGGTCAATTTTATTGGTCCTGTCGAGTGTTATCCTAGTGTTGTCGTACCTCTGTAGGACGGGTAGTGGGTACCTCTAAATAGCAGTCATTAATTACAGTCCATTCGGTGATCGTTGTATGGAAGTTCTATTGTACTTACATAAAGTTAGGTATGTGCAATTCCACGGCATTGCTGACAAGGCGTTTAGTCGATGTTATATTAGGGGAATCGGTAGGTCCCATATTATTACTATCTATAACAACGGTCCCTATTTTGGAAAGGGCCAAATATTATTTTTGAAAATTACTCTCAGTGAATAAATTTATATTTGAGAATAATAATGACATAACAATAAAAAGGATCATCGTTTGCCGTATTTTTTTCCCGGATGTAAGGATTCCTAATTCCAATAGTTACATTTTGAATGATAATAATTAAAAACAATAAAAGTTTTAAAAAATTTAATTTTAATATAAATATTTAATTTAATTCACTCTTTAAAAGTGTAGAATGTTGGATTTAGAATGTACAATTACAATGCACAACATTTATTAAAGTGTCGCAGACTGCATATAGTGGGAACCGCTGATCTATAATAACTAAAAATAATTACTTACACATTTTTTACTTTTAAGAAGGCTGCAGCGCAAGTATTTTTGATACGTTTTAGACCAATAAGCGGTGGTAAATTACACATACTTCGGAATGACTGATTTAAATTTTTTATACATGTTTGAATTCATTGATGAAATATCTAGGTTTCTTAGGAAGTCGATTTTCAATTTTCAATTTAAAATGACCTTAAAATAACCATTTTTTTTAGAAATCCCATTAAATAATTGCATTGCATTTGTATTTATTTTGGGCACATCTGATTTTAAATTAAAAAAAGTGATTCCTAAGAAGCATAGTCTAGAAGTTTATAAATTCAATCATTTTTTCAAAAGTACAATCGAACTTCGGGATGTATGATTAATTTACTATAGCTTTTAGTAGTTTTATACAAGAATATATTTCATTTTTCGCAAGGTATTGACATGTGCGTGCGCGTGTGAGAGTTGCTTCCGGCGCGGTTGCCCGTCTCGACGTGTAGCGATTCTCGGAAACGATAACGGATTAGGCACACTAATGTTCATTTTTACTACTTACACATCGATACAGTATTAATTTATATGTCACATGAATTGCCTAAATAGTACTCCTTAAAATATGCTACGTTGCACAGCCCCCTTAACAGTCTTTTGTATCTTCGGAAATTCCCGAAAAATCTGAAACGGGAGTATTAATGTTTCCCGGTAGGGCCAACCCTACATAAACTGTTACAGTTATAATAGGTATTAGCTATTACAAAATATAATAACAATATAATACCTATTATATGGTATAATATATTATTATATAAATTACTGACCGTGACACGTTTTCTGTCCTCTGTCCACCGTAGGTTTTCGGTAGCCCAGCTGGTCAAGGCGTTCGACACGCACCAGGAAGTAGTGACCAAACGGTCGCTGGAGGTTACCATGAACCCGGTCGCTAAACTCGGGATAGCCCACACGACGGCGTCGGTCGACCAGCTTACCGTAACCGAGTTTCCGACCGGCCCGAACGCTCTGCGGCTGTTCATACCCAACATCGACATTTGCAGCGGTGGTGAATCTGCAGCTGCCAAGAGGACTCGTGCCGTGGGTTGTGGAGGTGGTGGAGGCGTTGGTGGAGTAGATGCCCGTAACGAGAGTGCTCGGAGCCCGAATTCGGACAACCATCGCAAACGGTCAAACGTGAACGACTGCGCAAAAAACTGATCTGACAACTACCACTGAGCGGTCCTCCCCATATTTATTTCAACGGTATACATATTATATGATAATATTTTGTATTTGCTAGACTATTTTTTTTATAAATATTTTAACGTGTTATTTTATTATTATGTCGTGTCGTGTATGATATTATTATGTTGTTCGCTCGATAGAATATATTTATCATTATTATTATTATTATTATTATTGTATTAAAGTGTGTACGTTATCACATTTGATTGGAATGTACAAGTGAGCTAGTGATTTTCACATGTAGTCATATGTATATACAATAAATGGATTTCACTTCGACACGAAATAAATATAATATTATCATTGTAATGCACATCATCATAATTTGGTAGGTACGTTAGCCTTCTTCCATCTCGGCCTACTACAATAAATTATACATCATAATAACCTAGTAGTTAGGTCATATTTTGATTATTAAATTAATGATAGTAAAACTTACTCTAATTATTTATGTAATTTTTAGTAGCTTTATGAGGTGGGTACCCTGGCACCCCAATGTTCGAATTGTTTTTTTTATTTTTAACTATTAATTGTACTACAGTTTGTACCAATTTGTACCTAAATATTTCCCCAAGAAAAATTAATTTCCCGCTGGTATGTGTAAGTCCATCACTCCAGCACAACCATATCTAATTAATGCATGTATATTATAAACATTTTTTTTTTTCATTAATTGTACTATAGTTTGTACCTATTAGTAATACCATTTTCAGAATTTGTACCTAAATATTTCCCCACGAAAAATCAATTTTCCCACTGGTATAGTGGTATGTCTAAATCCATCACTCCATCACTCCAGCACCTGCACCATATGACAATGAGTCTCTCTCGGTCTATGCATGTGTGTATGAGCTTGCTGCAGTAGGGCCCTTTAAAGATACCTCTGCAGTGCCTTAGCTGCAGTGCGTGAACGTTCTTGATCGACGACGTTAACCAGGTACCACGTTACAAAACAATAATATTATATTATAATGCACATCGCCGTGATACTACAACAGCAGTATGCGATGCCGTATGCATTATACATATAGAACACACATTCACAACTTACAGTACCTATACATAATAGAATAGTATATCGTCGCATAAGAACCATCATGGCCAATCCCAAAAAATTCAAATATTCGTTTTATATAATATCAATAGATTCATATTTTCGAGACGCGTGAGACCAAGTGATTAGTTTTGAGGTTTGACCGTTAGGTTCGCTGTGAAAATTCCAAATGCCATCATGGCCTATCTAATATCGTTTGTTATTAGCATTATTAGTATTTAGTGGTATCATGACTTATCTAAATATCTACATCAGCAACATGGAAAGGATATTTTTTGCTATGCGGAGAATCAGAAATTATTTAAGATCAAATTTTGTTCAAACCTTTTTCACATAATAATAATAATATTGTACAATTTAATGTATATTTTACAATTTCATACACACGTACAAGAGTGGGTACACATAATGTGTGTGTTTAGTTTTGGCTCACAAATATCAAATATTGTTTGCTTGTTTAAAATATTGTATCCAGATTATACTACTATTATAATTATTAATTAGTAGGTAGTGTAACATATTTTGCTACATATTATATTATACAAATTATATACAAAATAAATAAACACTATAAAATTGACCACTCAATTCAAAATAAACACATTCAACACTTCTCGACTCCACCCAAATCAAACCCAAATTATTATACGTACCTATTATTAAAATACGTAACACACAACAATTCAGTGCGACAGTCGCACCATCAACACGAGCTAACTCAAATATACACAATTATTAGCAGCCATCTTCCGATCTACCTATAACCTTTAAGTAAAGTACTATTTAAAATATATTAATAATTATTATTCTAGATTTGTAGAATTGTTTTTTTAATTTTTATCGATAAGAACCTCTTGCACAGTTGCACGAGTGTTAAACCCCGCGTTACGGAAAACTTATCCATCATATGGAAAAAAAATCCTTCCTTGCAGGATAACTAATATCATAAGGTTAGGTTAGGTAAGGTTCCAGTGTTTCACCAACCATGTTACGTATCTTGTGAAGGTGCCGAAGCTTCAGACTCTTAAATTATGTACAAAGTTATCAATATTCAATAATATAAGACTTTGTATATGGAATATTTTTCTGTTTTAAATATTTTTTTAGAAATATGTGTATTTCATTTGATTTATGAATATTAATCAAAAATGTTAAGTAGATTAAACTACCTAGTTCATTATAGGTAAGAGGTAACATAATATTATTTATATATTTCTATAGTGTACATTTCTTATACACTAGAATAGGGATCAAAGTATGATAGATTATAATATAGACAACAACAGTAATTGTATTGTACGGTTTAATTGTTGATATTATTTATTTTTTAAATTTTAAATCATAAAGTTTTAACTTGAAATAATAACTAATAACTAATACCTAAGTTGAGAGGACGCTAACCCGCATTTGTTGTCTGTCTTACAAATGTACAACATAGCAAAAAACTATTTTGCGCGGGATAGAACTACTCAGGGGCAGACTGGCTCAGGGTGCTATACACCAAGTAGCAACCCGGGCCCCCATTCGTATTTATGATCCGGGCCCCCGATTACCACAGTCGGGCCCTTTTTAATTTTACTCTTATCGTAATGTAGAATATAAAGATAAATTAAAATAGAAATCTACAATAATATTCTGTTGTTATTATATTTATAATATTACATCGTGTCATCGTATCATTCGTGTCTACGTAATTAAAAGAAATATAGATAAAATAACTGCATAAAAGTAAAAATGTCATTGAATGACAGTATCTATATTATATATCTATAATCTATATAGTCTGTAGAATGTAGATAACCCATAGAGTAATTACTCTATGAGATAACCGTACATTTAAACCACAGATTTCCATATATTACTAGATAGCGAACTCCGGTCATGAATTGAAGCTTCAAGGTCGGTTGGCAATTGTATGGTATTTCATATGACAAATAAGATGATATTATGATTTATTTTATATCGTATTTTATTATTTTTAAACATTAAGTTTACAAAAAAAAAAAAATATTTTATATAAGTCATTTTACATTTACTATTTTATTTGACCGTTAAAAAAAATATTATTCCTAATACATTTTGTATAATAAATGAAATGTTTTGCCAACCGAGAAAATGGCGGCCGTTCACAGCTGAGCTTCACTTGTAACAATGTACATTGTATAAGAGTTCCTTATCTAGTGTAGTATAGAAGTCTGTGATTTAAACATATTACTATTGCCGCTTATCGCTTATAATGATTGTAATCATGAAGACTAGAATAAGGAGACCAAACTTCGCTTCTGATAACGGTTTATTTATAGTTTTGTTTTTGTATTTATGCCTTATGGTAATTTTATCTTATCTTATTATGAGTTAGCTATTATGACGTGTATTGTGTCTCCAACCTTTCCATTCAGCAAGATTTCAGGATGAACTCCGTCAAAGATGAAGCAAAACTCTACTATAAGCGGTTTCACAGTAGGTTACTTAATCATCCTAACCCTCTCATAAAAAATCTAGCAGTCCCTTCGATTCCGGGTAAACCCGTCAGACGTCTCAAACGTAATTGGTATCGTGACCTGCTAGACGCTTGAATCCTAGTTGAAATCCTCCTAAACTCTAAACAAAATAGGTAGTGTCATCATTGGGTGGCTTCTTCCGTCATATTACTCATGTTTTTAATACTCTGATCTAATTTGCTTATTATTCTATGTATGAATAGATTGTAAATATCTTGTAAAAATAAAAAAAAAAAAAACTGTGTTAGCTATAAATGTTATAATTATATATTTTATATTTATAATTTATAAACATTTGTCATTTTTATTATTACATTTACATGAATTAATGAATTAACTAAATATGATAATCGATCATTTTTCGTATTCGTATCTTTGAGCGTTTAGCTAGGGTCCAGGAGCACGTTTGACGTTAGATGTTTTATATTATTCCGTAAGTACGAGTACCTATACGATTTTGAGTCTTGAAATTAAAACTGCCAACTGGTGAGTAGGAAATCATTTAATATTACTCTATTATATATTATAATAAAATGTATTATAATGCGTATTTGTGTATTGTGTAAATATATTAAACAATTTTGATATTCTATATTACCGTCTAATAACATTTAATATTTTTCAATATTATATTATTAAATAAAAATTTGATTTAGTTTAAAATATTGATAACTTAATAGGTATGAACGAAATAATCCATAAAGGTTAATATTATTGATACATCATCAAAAATAACACGTAAATATTTTCTACTTCTTAAGACTTAAGCAAACATTTTTGACTAACATTTCGTTGATATTTTGTCTTTAGATTAATTATTTACAAAATATAATCATTATTTGAGGTGAGCTAAGATTAAAATTGTTGTGAATTTTATTTTCTAAATTAATATGTCTTGTACTAAAAATTAATATTGTACCTAGTACCTACCTATGTTCATAAATTGATTATACATTTTAAAGCTGAAGTATTCTATTAGATATATGGGCTATGGCTATGTATACCAAATCAAAATAATGTTTACCATCTCATAACATTGTAAATTTTGATTCAGAAGAATCCATTTTACTCTGTGTCTGTAATTTTTTAATATTAGAGTCAAATGACTGAATCAGGTGTAAAGGTAGGAATATTACCAATGGCACCATGTTAACATTTTTTTGAGTTTTTAATTTAAAAAAAAACATAATTTAAGTTATGAATCTTAAAATGCAAAAACAAATTACAATGAAATGTCCTCTTAATTGTCAACTTACCCACAGGTGCGGTCATTGATTTTATTCAAATTGTACTAGAAGTTAGGTAGTTAATCGGAAAGCAAATGTCCAAATAGATTGCATATATTATATAGACTATTATACTATACCCTTAATATGGTTTATATACTTTGTAGTTAATAGTTTGTTATATACTTATAT